CCCCCACCCCCCGTCTCTGTCTCCGTCACGTCCTCTCTCTTCTACCTGACGTTTTCTCTTTCAGGTGGTTGAGACGATGCGTTTGGACACGCCCCCGACGACACGGCCCCTCGTCCAGCTCGTTCCTCCAGAACTGAGGCTCCAACATGAAAAAAAAAGGCCAAAGAGAGACCGAACATTTAAAACTTAGCCTYACTTCAATGCATCCAGTAGCTTGTGACATATTTTGCTAACACAGCTGACAGGTGATGTCAGCTCCTGGACGTGTGGCAGCCAGGTGATTTCCTGGTNGTCTCAGGTTGGTCCATGTCTCAGATTGGTCCATGTCTCAGGTTGGTCCATGTCTGTGGTGGGTCCATGTCTCAGATTGGTCCATGTCTCTGGTCGATCCAGGTCTCAGGTTGGTCCATGTCTCAGATTGGTCCAGGTCTCAGGTAGGTCCAGGTCTCAGGCAGGTCCAGGTCTCAGGCAGATCCAGGTCTCAGGCAGATCCAGGTCTCAGGTTGATCCAGGTCTCAGGTCGATCCATGTCTCAGGTCGGTCCATGTCTCAGGTCGGTCCAGGTCTCAGGTCGGTCCAGGTCTCAGGTCGATCCAGGTCTCAGATCGGTCCATGTCTCAGATCGGTCCATGTCTGTGGTGGGTCCATGTCTGTGGTGGGTCCATGTCTGTGGTGGGTCCATGTCTGTGGTGGGTCCATGTCTCAGATTGGTCAATGTCTCTGGTCGATCCAGATCTCAGGTCGATCCAGGTGTCAGGTTGGTCCATGTCTCAGATTGGTCCATGTCTGTGGTGGGTCCATGTCTCTGGTCAGTCCTGGTCTCCGATTGGTCCAGGTCTCAGATTGGTCCAGGTCTCAGATTGGTCCAGGTCTCAGGTCGATCCAGGTCTCAGGTCGGTCCAGGTCTCAGATTGGTCCATGTCTCAGGTTGGTCCATGTCTGTGGTGGGTCCATGTCTCAGATTGGTCCAGGTCTCTGGTCGATCCAGGTCTCAGGTCGATCCAGGTCTCAGGTTGGTCTAGGTCTCAGGTAGGTCCAGGTCTCAGGTAGGTCCAGGTCTCAGGCAGGTCCAGGTCTCAGGCAGGTCCATGTCTCAGGTCGGTCCAGGTCTCAGGTCGGTCCAGGTCTCAGGTCGGTCCAGCTCTCAGGTCGATCCATGTCTCAGATCGATCCAGGTCTCAGGTCGATCCAGGTCTCAGGTCGATCCAGGTCTCAGGTTGGTCCATGTCTCTGGTCGATCCAGGTCTCAGGTTGGTCCATGTCTCAGGTTGGTCCATGTCTGTGGTGGGTCCATGTCTCAGAATGGTCCATGTCTCATGTCGATCCAGGTCTCAGGTCGATCCAGGTCTCAGGTCGGTCCATGTCTCAGATTGGTCCATGTTTCAGATTGGTCCAGGTCTCAGGTCGATCCAGGTCTCAGGTCGATCCAGTTCTCAGGTCGGTCCATGTCTCAGATTCGTCCATGTCTCAGATTGGTCCAGGTCTCAGATTGGT